TTTATCTTTTTTCTGGACGTGTGCCGATATGGTCATCTGCTTTTGCTTCTTGGACATGTTTAATGTTTATCTGTGGCCCTAATAATTAATTAAGTATGTATTTTGGTAAATTTTTATGTTTTTGATTGTCTCCAGGAAGATGTGATCAGGTTGTGGTCTTCCCCTTTCACTCCTCTTATTGCTTAACTCAGAGTAACTTTTACATGTGTTGCCTGTTTCCCTGGTTTGTGGCAGCTGGTATTGGTTCTTGTCTGGGTTTTGGTGTTTTATAAAGTGTTATTGCAGCTTGGCTATTTGGCAGCAGTTGCTGACTCTTTTCGTGTAATGTAGGGGGACAAAGAGTCCTCCAATAGCAGAAGGAAGGCTATGTGACGGCCAAACAACACCAGTCGGGTAGAAAACAAAACCAAAATCAAAAACAAAAGCGGAGTCCTCCGATCGCAGAAGGTAGGCTATGTGACAGCCAAGCAACACCAGTTGGGTAGAAATCAAAACCAAAAGCAAAAAAACAAAAAAACAAACAAAAAAAAGTGATAATGAGAGAAAAACAAAGCAACACAACAACAACAAAACACAAAACAGAAAAAAAAAACAATGGGGGAAAAGAAAAAGAAAAAAAAAGTGGGGGGAGGGGCTGAAGAAAGAGAGGGAAAAAAAGCGTAGCTTAATGTAAGTAAGTCTTTAATGCTCTACCTCTCTTTCAGTCTCTTCTGTGCTCTTCTCCTTGTTGGTATGTGGAGTCGACATGACCCACAGCAACCCAGTATAGGGTTTCCAAGGAGCAGCTGGTGGGCTCGAACCACAGTCCGTGCAGTTCAAAAGGCTTTGCAGTCAGCCACAGCAGGACTGCTTTGTTATTGGGGGTAAACAACTACTCAAGAGTGTCTCAATTTGGGCTGGCCTGTGCTCTTGAATAAGGCAGGTTTTAATCACACACACACCAAAAAAAAAAAGTGGGGGGAGGGGCAGAAGAAAGGAAAAAAGCGTGGCTTAATATAAGTAAGTCTTTAGTGCCCTAACTTTTTTTCAGCCCCTTCTGAGCTCTTTTCCTTGTTGATATGCTGTGGAGTTAATCGTGACCCACAGTGACCCAGTATAGGGTTTCCAAGGGGCAGCTAGTGAACTCGAATCACCTTCCTTGCAGTTCGAAAGGCTTTGCAGTCTGGCGCATTAACCCACAGAATCACAGCAGGACTGCTTTGTTATTGGCGCCTCAACTTGGGCTGGCCTGCGCCTTGATGGGTGGGCCTGAGGCTCGGCAGAGGGCTAGCCTAGGCCGAAAAAGTTGGGGGCAGGAGGGGGGGAGGTTAGTGATTGCAGGCAGATGACCTGGCTGTGTCTGATGATGTCTACAATGCCGCTCTCTGTCTCCCTGTGCCATGAGCACCCCAATTTGCCCTATATCCACACCGACAATGCCCAACGTGGCAATGAGGCACCCCTGGGATGGATCACGCTAGTTCCTGTGGCCCCGCTAGCTCTCCAGGAGCATCTGCCCTCTGAATGGCTCCGCTCAAGCCCTGAGCTCCACGCTCTGCAATGGGCGTGGCAGTCCCCGGGGTGGGAACTAAGTGCACAGGGGTAGAGGCTCAAAATGCTTGTAAATCCTCAGCAGTTTGATTTTTTTTTAAAGCAAGCTCATAATGTTAAGGCCTAATGTTTTATGTTTGCCCCAAGGCTGTCTGTCTACCAAGCCGGGGCCTCCCTGTGCAATACCACCCCCATATTCTCCGGAGCCCGCGTACCTGTGCTGCCCAGTCAGGGAAGCGCCGGAAGTCCCTCGATTTCCATTTATCTTTTAATTCCATTTTTTCCATGAACTTTTGAAATTTCCAACTCTAGCTACCATATATATATATATATAGTTTTTCTGAGGAGCATCTGGTGGGTGCAAAGCAACACCCTTTCAGTTAGCAGTCCAGTGCTTATCCTATAGTTCCACATATATCTGCAAAAGAACGTATATAAGACAGAAACCTGTCAGAAAAGGAAAATTCAAATATTTTCCACTATAACAACCAATAGAAAATGGTTCAGACTGCACATTGTCAAAGGCAGAGAATTTGCAAGCCCTTATGCTCATAATCCCTTATGCTTCCAGATTTCCTTTATATGTGTATATATAGGCATGTATGTATATATATGTACACACACACACACATATAGATATACAAGTTCTGACTTTTGTAGGTATGTGTGGCAAGAGGGATGCGGGTGAGGGTGGAGAGATGTGGCTTTTCGGAAACCTGGTTGTGACCACACAGGAGCAGCAATGATGGACCCAAAGTTTTCGTGCAGTGCCTTCACAGTAATGCAGCAATGCAGGTACCACCCTTCCAGTAGCCATTCTTCATGGGAGAAATCAGGATGCATAGTAATGCACCACAAGAATAGTCTACATGTCCCCTACCCAGTCACAGTAAATAGGAACACTTGACTTCCACAGAATCTAAAGACGGTAAGATAGGAGTGAATCCTCATCAGCACTTCCACTTGCTTTCCCCTTCCTCTCCTCTCACAGGTACTGGGATCATCCATCCTACACTGAGTTCTGAGTTCTCCAAAACTATGTGATCTGAAAAGAGAGTTACCACACAGCCAGCCAGAGCTGTTCTGGATCAAAATCTCACATAATGTCTTGTAACGATTCTCAGCTTCCAGGAGAGTTCCATTCCCAGGCAACGAGCCTCTTGCATAACTACGACCCATCTGTCATTGGAGGCTTGCATGTTGCTACGATGTAAAATGGATTTCAGCAGAGCTTCCAGACTAAAATGGATTAGTAAGAAAGGTTTAATGATTTATCTCTGCAAGTCTGATGAAGAAAACCCTATGGATCACAAATGGCCCACTGGGGATGGCACAGGATTGAGCATTGTCTCTTTCTCTTGTGCACAGGGTCACCATGAGTCCTAGGTTAACTCAAGGCAGCTAGCAACTACTACCACCATTGCTCTTGCCTCATTAAGTAGCTTTGTACCATGACACCCCAACCCTCCCTTCCCCCAATATCCCCACCCCACCAACAGACCCCAGATCACTCTGAAATTTTTGTCATGCTTCCCCTGGCTTTTCCTATAGAACTTCCAGGTCCTAGCGCAGATGTCGGGACAACTCAGAGATCAAAAGAAGCCCTGATCAAAGGAAGAAAAAGGGTGTGGGGGTATCGTGGTTGAACCTGGATATTAGGGGCATAAATTCATCACTCTGATCTCTCTACTTTTGCCTGTGTTTGAAATTTTCCATAATAGAAAGTTAAATTTATGCATTGCTGTGACAGACATGGAAGTTCTTCAGGAAAGAACTTGCTGTTTAGAAATGAGGAATGCAACTGGCTAACATGATTCACTCAGCTTTCAAGCAGAGGTCTTGCTCTTCCAGGACAGTGGGACCCTGGAGCTCCCATTGGGCTGGAAGAGACTGGGTCAGTCCTGCAGTGCAGTCTAGGGCTCTCCCTGCTCTTTCTTCTTCCTTCTTTTTCCTCTCACGAGGGTTACATTTACTTGGCAGAGACTCTCTTCTCCTGCCTACCCCTGCTTCCCCCACCTTTACCTTTCACACATTTACTCCCCAATAAATCTTGCACTGCTAACTCTACCTTGACAAGTGCATCCTAAAGAACATAAACTGACTGACTCAAGAGAGGTGCACGTGATTTATTTTTTTTCTTCCAAAGCTCCAAAAATAATGAAAAACCATTAGACAGTTACACATATCATACTATATTTAAATGTTTCCATATAATAAATTAATACTTTTCATGCTAAAAAATACAATGGTTATGTAAATAACCTGATTTTACAGGTTGTTGTTGCTAAGTGCCGTTGAGTCGGTTCCGACCCATAGCGACCCTGTACAGGGTTTCCGAGGCTGTAAATCTTTACGGGAGCAGAACGCCTCATCTTTCTCCCGCAGAGCAGCTGGTAGTTTCGAACTGCTGGCCTTAAGGTTCACAGCCCGATTCGTAACCACTACGCTACTATTAAATATTAAATATATGGTCTTTGGGGGATAAGAGTCCCAAGCCAAGTGACCCTCCTTACCTCTCATCCATGAATAAGTCCTGCCAGACATCACAACTCTAGAAGCTTCCCAAAATAATGCAGCCTGCAATTGGGCAACCTCTTCTTCTATGTTCCCACAACACCCTAATCTCATCCATTAGATTTACTACTGGGTGTCACAAACAGTTTGTACTCATCTATCAACTAAAGGTATCCTGGTGCAGCAGGACTGTAGGATAAGCACTGGACTGCTAACCACAAGGTCGGTGATTCAAACCCACCAGCTGCTTCTCGGAAATCCTATATAGGGTCACTATGAGTTGGAGCCTACTCGATGGCATGTAACAACAACATCAACCTAAAGATTAATGGTTTGAACCCATGTAGATCTGTTTCCAGAAAAGCCCGTGGAGCAGCTCTACTCTATGACACACAGGGTCACCATGAGTCAGAGTCTACACAACAGCAGCAGGCTTGGTTTGGGGGTGACTGTCATTAGTTATAGACTTTCTGCCCCATCCACCTCTACCTGCCCTCCTCTCAAGGTAGAGAGATGGTACGGGACCTGGCACAGCATAGTCACTCAGTCAATGACATTGGACCAATCCCTGAGTGACTGATGAAAGCACCTGTCCCCAAAAGGACCCCATATAAGGCCCATCTTCACTGAATTCCTGCAGGTTTACAAAATGTTCAGGAATACAGACCACATGGCTTCTTTCAGTCTGGTGTGGACATGGAGAGGAAGGAAGACAAATGCTTAGAAATTCTGTTAAAGCCTTTTTTCAAGCCTTGGGACCTTGGGGCATCCAGCCAGACACCTGGGCCCTCTGGGACAAGATTCCTCATAGGTGGTGAGGGAAGAAATCATGTGTCCCCTGTTCTGTTTCTCTCCAAAGGGACAAACTTTTTCGGTTGCTGGTGAAGATAAGAGGCCCAACAGCTCCATCTGTTGGGTGGAACCTGAGCAAATTCCTGCAGGTCCTTCTGGCCAGATCACCAGCCAGGGACCTTGGGTCGGCTGGAGCTCCAAGCACTGGTGCCAAACTTCTCCTGGAACTGCGAGCAAGACAAGGGTTTTGACTTCTCCTGGCCCCGGTCCTGGGGGAAATCCTCCAAGGAAGAAATCTCCAAGTCACTTTCATCTTCAGAAAACTGCAAGAGGGGAGGAGGAGAAGAAATGCTTGAAGACCAAGGAGGAGGCAGCAGATGCAGGTTGGAAAAGGAGGCAAAATGCACATTTGGAGGAAAGTAGTGTGGAGATGCTGTAGCTTCCGCCTTTGTGAGACTGCTTCTGAGAACTGGAGTCACAGTGATTTCAAATACTGCACAGTAGCCCTTACAACTCCACCAACCAAACCAAGGAAACGCCTTACAATGACATACAAATTAGGTGGCTCTTGCTTTACTTTTGCCTTTGTGTAGATGTTTTAACTCCCCACATTGATAGAGTTGGAGCCTAGAACCTTGACCATCCCAAGTTCTTGAGCTGAATGCACTCTGGGCTAAAGCACCTACCTCTTAGCAGACTGGCTCTCTCAGGCCTGGCAAGCGCTGGGACTGAATGAGAATGTAGGGCATTCAGAAGCATCAGAAACCCTTCAGTCAGGAGAGGGTCTGGGCTGCAACCAATGTAAGGCCTAAAGTTGGCCAACATTACCAAGTTCACCCCTGGGTCCAATAACCTGCACCCAGCCCAGATCTTCTCCACCAGAAGTTTCATGGCCACCTGGTTTTGATATAAGCCATGCTAAAAAAATTTCTCCTAGAATTCAAGGCCCAGGGCAGCAAGCATATTCTGAGTAAAACCTCAACCAGATTTGAATTGTTGGCTCAATTTCATGATGTGGGAAAAGGGACAAATCATTTTTTTTAATCATCTGGACTCATGGCTTACAAACATACATGAGCTGTGGATAAAGTAAATATGAGAGGGCTTCAAAAAATTCATGGGAAAATGGAATTATAAGATATCAGAATTTTTTTGTGAACTTTTTGAAGAGACCCTCATTCATGATGTAGAAAAACTGGGGGGAAATACTATTGAAAACCATAAAAACAATTGCCCACTACTTCTTCATTTCAGTGCACTAGAATTGCTCTGTCTAAATGGTACCTTTTGGGTTAAGAAAGATAAATGAGAGTGGAAGTAAAGAAATCTCTCCTTCTTTCTGTGTAAGAAAAATGACAGGAATGTAAGTTATTCCCTGGCAAGGGGGAGAAGAAGGCAGTGAGGAGGGTTTGGTAACATTGGGGGAGGCTGAACATCTGAGCTCTCAGTCTGATTGTCACAGGAGCCTGACTGAGCATGGCAAGGTCACTAGGACATTCTCAATGATGAAGATGGTCCTGAATATTTAGAACGAAGGTATCTAAATATTCCATTTCTTGTTGTTGCCTACTCTGAGCAGGAGAAAGATGAGGCTGTCTGTGCTCAAAAAGATTTTCAGCCTCGGAAGACAGAAGGAGCAGCTACTCTTGTCCTATAAGGTCACTATGAATTGGAATCAACATGATGACAGCGAATTTGGATTTGATGGGCCTACTCTAATGAGCCAGGAGTCCTGGTGTGGCACTGTGGGTTAATGTGCCAGACTGCAAAGCCATTTTGGAGGTTCAAGCTCACCAGCTGCTCCTTGGAAATCCTATACGGGGTCGCTATGAGTCGGAACCAACTTGACGGCACTTAACAACAACAAAACTCTAATGAGCCATGGGATGCCACACCAGCATTCCCCTCTCAGAGAGAAATCTGTCCTACAGCCCGCCAGTGTTGAAATCTTGGGCAGAGTAAAGGAATGGGGAGGAGTCTATGTGGGGTGCAACAGAATTGGAAGAAAGGAGTCCAGGTGAGAAGCCAGACACAGAAATGGGAGCAAGAGTTGGCTGGGACAGACTAACCCTACTGAGTAATGAACTAATGAACTGAAAAACCTTTACAGTTAACTTCACCATAAACAGCACCCAACATTCAAGGTGACCATCCCTTCATCTGGACAGAGGTCACCTTCAATGTTCTGCTAAGACAAGGCTACCGTTTTTTGGACCCTCCCCTAACCTTCACCAAGGCCCCCCATACTTGGAGCAGTCTCTGCAGGGATTGCATCCAAGTGTCTGACACCCTACCTGAGGCTTCCGTCCTGGGGTGGCAGCGCCCTGTGGTCTGGCATTGGGCAGTAAGAACAGATTGACCCCTCCAGCTGGCTTCTTCGCTGGAGCCTCAAGCTGCTTCTCCAGGTTTTTGACCATTGATTGTACCAGTGTTTCTGGAAGCAACAAGGGGGTATATCAGCAGGGAAACTTGGAGAATGACTCCCTCATCCATGTGCATCAGGATCCAGCATGGATATAAGGAGTGTGGAAAAGGGTCAGGAAGAAGGTGGAGCAACCACAAAGAAGAGAGGTAAGGAAAAAGATAAGACCCATGCCAGCATGAGCCTGGAGAAGAAGTATTTCTGAATACTCTGAAAATGTAACCGTGTAGACTTAATGACCAGGCTGGTGATAAAGGTGGGACTTAGGCTTAGTTCGGTACATGAACTGTTTGGCTAACGTGCAGACATGCCTCCTTTAATGTCCCCATATGGAAACAAGCAGAAACATCACTGATGTAAATCAGCGCAAGTGGACTGCAGGCAACGCAGGGTTTCTGCAGAACTGTGCAGAAAGTGTGGCTAAACAATGATATAGATCATCAAGAGATCCCTGGTGATGTGGTAGACCAAGGTGATACCCACACTTCAGAAATGAACAAAAAGCAGGGAGCTAACAACAACCTTCTGGGACTCAAATGTCTGAGGATCCCAGCACACTTTTAGCGCTACAACAGCCCATAGCTTATTTATTCTTGTAAGTAATATTTGTTACGGTCTTGCAATGTACCAGCTTCATTAGAACAGAATACCATGCTTAGTAGAGTAGAGGGTCCACAAAAAAACAAGGGAAACCTGCCAAGAGAAAGATTGATACAATTGTTTCAACAATGGATTCTGTGGTATAGCGAATTATCTAATGTCTCCTCTAGCCATAGTCTGTAACTCCTACCAAACAATGTTTCTGTCTTGCTGCTCTGGATAAGAGAAGTTGGAAGAAGATACTGATAAAATGACAGGATTCAGCTGTGGATGTTAGCAGAGTTAACTATAATTATAAAAAACTTAATACTCTGCCATGGGTATAAAATGAACTATCTCAGAAGCAGGAGGAAGGAATTCATTACTATCAAAGTATAAGAGTCAGGAATGGAGCGCATCCTTTGGACCCTGAGATCCCTGTGTATTGAACCTTCTCAACCCAGGACAGAAAACTGCGACACCAGAAGAGTGGCAAAGGAACAGCAGAACCAAGAACCACAGTACAAGACAGAGCAGTGGGTTTCCCAGCCCATGAAACAAGTAAAGCTAAGTGACTTGGGGTAGAAAGCTTGCTTGTAGAGTGGAATGCCACCAGGTACTTAATGGGGGACCTAGGTTTTCTGACATATGGAGCTAGAGCCGAGTGCCTTCTGGCTAAGGTTTATGATGGAGTGGTGTGTCCAGGGCCACTGTTCCTGGAACAACTGTGCACTGAGAACTTCTGACCCTAAATTACAAACTGTTCACTTTCTTAATCAGGCCCGTAACTCTGAGTCTGGTGTCTGAGTTTTGTGTGGCCAGTGCAATGATTTATAGAACCCACCTGAGTAGAGAGGGCTGTGGGTGGAATGGCTGGTGCCACATCTTTTTGCAGATTCAAATACATCAACAATTGTGAAGATGATGAAGGACCAAGCAGTGCTTTGTTTGGTTATACATAAGGTCGCCATGAGTCAGGCCCTACTTGATGGCAACTAACAATAACAAATGTACTAGATACTGTATTCCTCACTCCCTCTCCAAATTCTATCATCCCATACAAATACCTCCTTTTGCATCAAAGGAACTGAGGGACCTTGCACAAGGACAAGCAAGTGACAGAGCCAACAAATAGCTGAGAACTTCTCACCCCAGTCCAGTGCTCTTCCCAGACTATCAATTCCACCTGGCCAGCCACTGCTACTTCATCAAAGATCTGCTTTTTGTGATTTCTGATGGATAGGCAGGCTGGGATTATGCTGTGGACAAGACCAAGTACCACAAAGCTCATTAAGAACATGAATTTAAAGATCACACCAGCCTACACTTAAACTCCACAGCTTCCATTCACTAATTTAGAAAACACTAAACTTGTAGTGCTGCAAGTTAATGTGCTGGACTGCAAAATCGGTTTGAACCACAAGGTTGGCAAGTTCAAGCTCACCAGTCGCTCCTTGAAAACCCTATACAGGGTTGCTATAAATCGGGGCCAACTGGATGGCACTTACTAAAAGAAAATTATAAATTCAATGTTCTGGAATTAAACCTAGGCTAGAAAATAAAGCCAGAAGCTATAGCTCAAGAAAACTTTGAAAGAGAGCTGACATGTTCTTTTCTTTTCTTTCTTTTTTTTTTTTTGAGAAGAAAATTGCTAAACTAGTCATTGTTAGAAAATGGCAAGTTTAATGAGTATTTTCCATCCAGTTGCCAGACATTTAAGTTAAACCTTTCTGATACCTTTTCATCAACAGGTTGAGTGTGTTAGGGTTTGAACTGTGTCCCCAGAAAGATATGTTGAAGTCCTATTCCCTGGAGCTTAGAATGTAACCTTCATTGGAAATACAGTCATTGCAGATGTAACTAGTTAAGCTGAGGTCATTAGGGTGGGACCAAATCTCTTTACAACTGGTACCCTTATAAGAAAACACACACAGGAAAGGGCACTTTGTGATGACAGAGGCAGGGATTGGAGTTAGGTGGCCATAATCAAGGAATTCCCAGACCAACTTGAAGTTGGAAGAGACAGGGAAGGATCTTCCCCTAGAGCCTTTGAAGAGAACCTGACCCTGCCAATACCCTGAAAAACACATTGCCACCAAATCAATGCCAACTCAGAACAGCTCTACTGAACAGAGAAGAACTACCCCAGAGGCTTTTCAAAGCTGTAAATCTTTGTCTTTTCTTTTTCCTTAAGGCTGTAAATCTTTTTCCCATGGAGCAACTGGTTCAAACTGCAAATTTCAGTGTGAAGCCAAACACTTAACTTATCTCCAGATCTCCTTCTATCTGATGGTTGAGAAGATCATTCTCTCCGAATCACAACAGAAAGATACAAGGGGGCTTTCAAAAGTTCATTTTAAAATAAATTGGAATTCAAAGATAATGGAGGTGTCTGGGGCAAGATGGCAGAGTAAGCAACCACACTGAGCAGCAACAAAGACATGGGAGTGAAACAGATACAGGTGATGAGCCTGGAGCCCTGAGCAGCAGAGAACAGGACAGAGCGGTGGATTGAGTGCTGACTGAAGAAGCAGCTGAACAGGAGCAGTGAGAAAGAAGAAAACTGAGCAGACTGTGGGGTGGCATGGAGAAGCACTGCCATCTTGAGCTTTTGCAAGCGGCTGTTCATACAGCAGCTTGCAGGCACAAGATGTGGCTAGAGGTTGGCAGCAAGGGGACTAGTACTCTCCTATTCTGTGCCCTCTGCGTAGACAGGGGCATGGCCAGTCCCCACCCTCACCAAGCCACAGAACAGTGACACCCTCTCTTGCACAGCCTCTGTTCTGCCTGGGGTCAGGTGCCGAGAACAGCACCCCTGTTTCCAGAAGCCCATGAGCCCACCTTGAAATAGCCTGCACGGTGAACAGAGAACTAACTGCATTTACACTTCTGGTCTCTGCCACATCCACCAAGAGACAGGTGGTGGGTGCCTGCAAACACACCAATATACAATCATCGACTAAATTTAAATACAACACCACTATGTCTTAGTGAAAACAGACAATTTCAACTTACACAAAGAAACAAGATAAAGTACCTCAAACAAGTCACCAAAATACAGTCAGAAAATATGACACCAGAAATGGTATCAGAACCACCAGGTAAGGAATTCAAAAGAATGCTGGTAAGGCAACTTCAAAAGATTGCGAGAAAAGAGCAAGTAAGCTACAGATGAAATCAAGGAAAACACAGACAAAACCATGGAAAAACTCAGGAAAATAATTGAAAAAACGAGAAACATACAAAATCAGCAATTAGAAAGCCAGAAGACTAACACACTAACACTAAGACTTCAGAAAAAGATAATTCACTGAAAGGACAAAGAAATAGAATTAAATCAGTGGAAAGCTGAATTACTCAGCTTGAAGAAAAATCTCTCAATAATCATCTGTTAGAGGAATAATCAGATAAAAAGAATTTAAAAATTTGAAGATAGTCTAAGATTTATGTGAGACACTATCAAGAGGATAAACTTACATGTGATAGGAATTCTAGAACAGAAACAGACAAAAAAGACTTATAGAGAATATTGTCCAAAAGTTGTTAGAAAAAACTTCCCTACTATCATGCAGGGAAGTTTTTTCAAACAACTTTTGGACAATATTGTCTATGGGTCTTTCCTAATATCATGCAGAACTCTTGGTGTGGTGCTGTAGGATCAGCACTAGACTGCACACCCTAAAGTCAGCAGTTCAAACCCATCAGCTGCTCCTTGCAAACTGTATACAGGGTCACTATGAGTCAGAATCAATTCAAAGGCACTTCACAACAACATCATGCAAGATAAGAAGATGGCCATTCCAGAAATTGAATGAACTACAAACAGGATGGATGCCAAAAGAAAAATACCAAGACATATTATAATCAAACTTTTCAAAACCAGATCCTTAGAGCAGTTCAGGATAAATGAAAAGGAAAATTAATAAGATTAAGCTCTGAATTATCAAAAGAAACAGTAAAGACAAGAAGACAATGGAATGATATATATAAAACTCTGAAAGAAAAAAATTGCCAACCAAGATTCATATTGCCAGTAAAACTATTCATCAAATGCAATAGCAAAATTAAGTCATTTTCAGACAAACAGAAATTAAAAGAATTTGTAAAAAAAAAAAAAACAAAAAAAAAACAAGGCCAACCTTACAAAAAATACTAAAAGTTCTTTGGCTAGAGTACCAATAATAGCAGACAACAACCTGAGATTAACACACATGACAATATTATTACCTAAACTCAACCGAGATTTAGAAATATGCAAAGTAAAACAGACCTATAAGACTGAAAAGAGAGAACCAGAGATACAGCTGCACCAACAACAAAAAGTTAAGAGGGAAAAATCCAGTTACAGAACTTTCCAATGAACCCGAAATCAAACAGATTTCAAGAAAAATGAATAAAAATAAACCTAACCATAACCCTAAAAACTAGACCAAGACCTAATTCAATGCTCACTCCTCATACTAACCCTAGTCCTACCCATAACCCTAACGATAAATGAAGTCCTAAACCTAGCCAAGACCTACTCATAGTCCCAACCCTCACTCTTTACTCCTACCCACTTACCCCCACAAAAAGATAATGGAATTCTTCCAAGAACTTTTTAAAGCCCCTTGTATGCCAAACCAGAAAGTCCAAAGAAAATTGAAGGGTTTTTCCAGGGCCTAAAGAAGACTCCACAGTCAGAATGCCACTCACCTGTGGAAGCCAGCCCATCTGAGCCCTTGCCAGGAGGCTGGGCATTTCCCTCCGAGGTTTCTGTGTCAGACCAGTCCCAGTCATCATCCGGCCGGGACGCCATCTTGGAAGAACCCTGAGGCTTCCGAAGAGACATGCGCTGTACAGTGTCTCCCTCTGAGTCCTCTTCAGAACTAAATGGGGGTGTACTGAGACAGCACATGGAGAAGTGAAAATGAGAGGTACACACATCAAAAGTTTGAGTTAAACTTTACCACTTTGCAAGCTGGTTTGTTTGCCCATTGCCAGCTCTGCCCCGCCTCAACTGGGTCCAGATAACAGCAAGGAACTATCTTGACGTACAACCAGTTTCTCCCTTCAGAAGATGAGGCTCCAAGGGGATACTCCTGCCTGAGGACCCAGCCCTTCTAGTGTGTGACTGAGCTTAGGGAAGAGATGGGTAAAGGGAGGGAAGGTGTAGTGGTAATTTTATGTGTCAGTTTGGTTAGGTTATGGTTGTTGTTGTTATGTGCTGTGGAGTCAGTTCCAACTCATAGCGACCCTGAACAGGGTTTCCGAGGCTGTAAATCTTTACGGGAGCAGAAAGCCTTATCTTTTTCCCATGGAACAGCTGGTAGTTTCAAACTGCTGACCTTGCGGCTCGCAGACCAATTCATAACCACTACACTACCAGAGCTCCTTAGATTATGGTACCCAGAAGTTTATCTGAACACCACTTGCTATTCCATAATTTAATCTCCTGTAATATGACTCCTGTTGTGGCCCTGTGGGTTAATGCATCAGACTGCAAAGCCATTTGAACTGCAAGGTCAGCAGTTCAAGCTCACCAGCTGCTCCTTGGAAACCCTACACTGGGTCGCTTTGGGTCAGGACCAATTTGGCAGCACTTAACAACAACAACAATGTGACTCCTGGTGTCACACTGTAGGACCACCAACTGCTCCTCAGAAACCCTATACAGGGTCACTGTAAGTCGGAACCAACTCAACAGCACTTAACAATAACTATGTAATACAATAACCTTCCATAATGCCATCTAAGTTATATAATGTAATCAATGATCAGTTGAACAGTGAGTTTGCTTAGGGTGTGCCTCTAGACTATAAATAAGCATTTACACAAAACTTTTTCTCTCTCTCTGTACTTAGCTGAGAGGAAAGGACCCCCATCTCTTCCTCTGAGCACAGGTTGGAACAAACCTGAGATACCTCCTGTCCACTTCTGTTCTGGCCCTCACCTGTCTGGAAAAGCCTGGGGCTGGGAGTGTCTGCGACAGATACAATGAGAGCACAAAATGCAGAGCTCACCTCAGCCCAAGCCCGGGAGAAGTGGGGCTGCTGGCAGACCCTCGCACTCTGAGTCGGGGGGTTGGGGTGGGCACCTGGGTCTGGCCAGGGCCACGGCTGTCACGGTTCTGAGGAGTCGGCGTGGGCAGCTCTGCTGGTTTGTATGGTGATGCCACATGCAGTGTCCTGGCCTTTGACTGGGCTTCTTTGATGACCAGTGAGCTCCGCTGGCTTTTGACTGGAAGCACAGACAGGAATGGCTTTCAGAGCATATCCATGCTGGGCCCTCAATCCAGACCTATGTCCAGAGAGGGTCCAACACTGGGAATAGAATGAAAAAGCCAGAGCAGATGCAGCAGTTACCCTCACCCCACCCCACCCCATCCAGGTGCCCCAACCTTGACCTAATTCTAGCCCCTGAGCTATATAAGGCACAGGTTTGGAACTGTGATTTCCTCAGAGACTAGAAAGGCAAGCTGGTTATTCCAGGGTCATATCAAAGGAGCTCTAGTCGCATAGTGGTTAGGAATCAAGCTGCTAATGTCAAAGGCAGCAGTTTGAAACTACCAGTCGTTCCACGGGAGAAAGATGAGGCTTTCTGCTTCCATAAAGATTTACAGCCTTCACAGCACACTACCACCACCACCATCATCGTTATAGGAGACAAACAAGAGTCTGCAGCCTCAACCTTATACTGAAGCAGAGATAGAGACTCATCTAGAGCAAGCCGTCTCCCCTCGCAGCCCAGAAGAGCTGCAGCCATTGGAGTACAAGCATGCTTGCAGGAAGGCCCTGCTGCCACCAGAGGTCACCACAGGACCACATGTGCCTTCAAGGTCTCTACACACCCAGGTCCCCAAGGCTGCTCAGTACCAGAACTATGCAATTAGACACAGCTTAAAAGCTCTTGTTTTCCAAAATGCATCAAGATCCATGGAGATGTCCAGGATCAGCGATCTTTTTACGTAAAGAAAAGAAGAGAAAAAGTGCATTACAGAGAGTCAGAGTAAGTACTGTTCCATAAAACTCTCATGTGTGAGCTCAGTCACAATGAAAAGCACATTTTTTACTGTGGTTCAATGTCAAAAATGTTTGAAATACACTGCTCTCAAGGAACGCTGTTACTCAGAAGTGGACCTCAGAGCCTCTTCAGAGAGTAGTACCATTTCCCTACTTTCTGTAAAGTTTCAAGAGAATAGGGGACTTGTCCAAGATTCCACGGAAGTAAGAGGTCTGCCCAGAACTCTTTGTGACACAAAGGCAACGCTCCAAAACAAGAGAAGAGGCAATGTCTGAGCAGAGACACGAGAACATTAGTACAGCACCTGTGGGACCCAGAAAGGGAACTTGTGGGCTTGGAGCTGGAAGGCTGCAAAGTCTGCCCTAAAGGCACAGTGCTCACCTCCCACCTCAGTGGTACCTCAGAGAGGAGGTCACATGGCAGGGAAAGGGAGACAAGGCAAATGGGGCCCTCTCCCTCTCAGCTTTTTGACCACAGGAAACAAGGGCTGGAGGGGAAGGATGACACCTAAAAGGATTGGGACCTTTTCCTTTGAAGGCCATTTCTACTCATCTTCCTCAAATCCCTGGTCCCTCCCTCCTCTGAGCTCCCACTACCCTGCTTGGTTCCATCACGGCCCTAGTCCCACCTTGTCCTGCCTGGTTCCTCAGCAAACACAATACAACATAAGTGAATGAATGGAAAAAAAGTTTGAGCAAATGAACAGAAAAATAGGAGCTTAAATTGACGTGTGAAAGGCAAATTAGCAACTAAGACAAATACCCTTGAAATGAAAGAATTCTGCCTGAAATTTCTGTGCAAAACCAAGAACTGTCCTTTACCTTAGAGATTTCACGACTGAAAGTTTAAACTAAATAGGACAGAATATCCAAGAGCATCAACAAATTTTCACATTTTCATACCAACTGTCCTGTTATCTAACATTTGTATATAAAATGACACCATTTTTAAACATTAGATATCTAATTTATACTTGTCCAAGTGGTAATATCTATGAAATTATAGAATTTTTATGCTATTTAAATGTCTGATTTACACGGAGAAAAACAGATTAATACATGTAGAGAGAGATATACAGATATAGATATTCATCCACATACCAATTTAAAATTCTCTCTCATGTCCATACAGGTATGTGGAGCACATTTGGGAAAATTCCTTTGTGTGAAGTGCTCAGGTTGGGTCTGCCTTCTCCGGAGATGACAACTGAACTAGCCTCGCTCCCACCACACAAATTCCTGACTGAGGAGACACTGCGGGAGGCACGAACCCCTGCCCACTGATGACCACCAGTGGATCTTGGAATCCTCTAGAAACAGGGCTTCTCACAATTTCTCTAGCTTCATGGCCCTCATCCACAGGCTTCAACCCTCCACAAGAACCATGAGGGTCTTCATCATGTTGGCCCCAGGGGCAGGGGCAAGGGTCAAGCAGAAGCTGTGACCAGGTTTAGATAACCAAGCCTGAGCTCTGAGGATGATTCCACATACAGAACAGACCCAGCCGTTCACCCCCTCCCACAGCTCTGAATTTGCGATCTGAGGAAGTTTTCATTTGATTTATATTTGCCTCCACTTGCAGCCCTAGTGCTCCCAGACCTTGGGCCTGACTTCCAGCACTGACAAGCCCGATTTGTAGAACAAGAAATGGAGTGAGCTTGCTCTCTGGGAGTGAGAAGCTTAGCTTGTGGTCAAAGCAAATAGATCAGCACAGAATTTCGAATGCAATATAAGGTACCAAGTCTGAGTAGAGAGTGTCCAGGGTTGACCCTAAGTTCTAGCTCTGGATTTCCTTCCAATTCCCTGAGTGACCCTGGACATTTGGTTCATCCCACCCCTCACCACTTCACACTTGGTTTCCTCAGTTATCTTTGAGGACACCACCAGCCTAGACTTGTAGAGTAATGCCCCTGAAGGAAGACAGGGAACACAACCTTCTCATGTGCAAACAAACTTTGGTGAGAACTAGACCCTCCCAGGACACAGCCCCCAAGAAACCTCTTTCCCCAACTTACCTGGAGGTTCGCCATCTGTTAGGGCCACCATGGCCCCATTCTTTTGTCTCTCCTTCACTCTGCTGGTAGTTTCCTTGATGAGTTTTTCCCTCAGGCTCAGAAACTCAGAGAATCTTCCAGCCTTCTGCTCCCGCTGGGCTCTTATGAGAGTCTCCAGATGTCTAAGAGTCTGACTTGAGATTCCCTTTGCATCCTCAAATAGAAAGAAGTTCACCTTTGGAAACAGAGCTATCTTTCTTCTCCTTCCCCTAAGTTCCTCAAACCTGCTGCTGCTGACCTGGGAGTTACTGTCACCAGTACCCAGTGCTTTCTAGGAGGTCACCAGATGTGGATCAGAGTAGGGTGCGCAACGGCTCCACCTACTGCTGGGTGTAAGATGGCTCAGTGTGTGCAGGCCCATAAACACGTGGGCAGAAGGGTAATGAAGAGTGGCTGCATCACTTCGTCCACATCATAGCCTGCGGGACTCAGAGGGGATATGCATGCCCCACACCAATCAGATCCCTGGATGAGAGACCACAGCTTGCTCCTTTCTGTATGTCTATCACTGTGCTCAGCCCCTGTCCCTAGCTGAAAAGAAATAAACTATAAAAGACAAAAGTCAGGTACCCTTCCAAAACCTATTGAAAGTTGCCTGGACTTTTGACATCTACCCATCCATAGGTCTTGGAAGGCATCTGGATCCAAGATGAGGATTTAATCATGTTTAGAAAGAAATGGTTTCTTCAAGTCTGAACATAAGCTAAATTACATTAAACAGTAGTAGAAAAAGTTAAAGATCTGTGAATATCATTACTAAATTAAATCTAGGGGTCTATTTTTTCACCTAATCTCATTCTATACAATAATGTGATATTTGGCTACCTTAATAACAAAATGTAATTTTATTTAATAACACATTTCATGGATGCCTTTAATTATAACATGCATGCTCTGGTTAAATGTAAGCAGAAGGAAACATAAGCATTCAAAAGTTAGTGTGTATCAGACATAACAGGCCCATACACAGCCACCAATGTAAAGAATGTAGTGGGGGTGGCCTTGATTGACCCAGAGATAGAGACTTCACTAAAGAGGGATTTATGCATAGATTGAGTCAATTAAATTTCATTTGTAAGAAGACCTATTTGGAGACCCAAAAGTAAATAAACAATGAACAGAGAGTACTGAGAGGTCAGGATGCAGGACGGCAGCACTGACCACGGAGAGTTGGAGAGACAGATGAAGGAGAGAGAGCAGAGACACCTGGCTGCTGGGAACTGAGGGAAAGGTGCACGGGTTTCTTTACCTGGACACCAAAGGAGCATGGCTAGACCACATGAGATCAATGAGCTTACAATGCAAAAGACAACCAATCAAGTGTCGGCCTAAGAACACCTTGTGTCTAAATTGTAGGCATCAGTCCTTAAGACAGTAACCCTGGAACTTACCTTCCGAATCCCCATGCTTTCCAGTTTCTCTTCCAGGGTGTCCTCCAGAATTGGTCTGAACTGCTTTAGCAAGGTGGGGTTTAGCCTCAGAGTTGGCAGCACCATCTGCTGTCGATCCTGGGAGCTCTCCAACTCTGCAGCAGAAGACAATCACCAAGGTCAACCTGGATGTCAGACACCACCTAAAAGGCCCTCTGCACCCACCGGGCCGCACACTGCCAGTAACCCTGGTCTCAGGCCTGTGCGTTCAGCCTGAGTGTCCATCACTGGGGCATTTCTGCTTCTGGGTACCACTGCCTAAGACCATCCATCCTGCCTCAGAATTCTCTTCCTCTGCCAGTCTGGAACACTAAGATCTAGGCTTAATAGGCTATGGGTTAACTCAGGGCTCTTGGGCTTTTGACTTGAGCAATGACAGTAGCTGGTTCCTGGGGCTTCATCCAGATCTCAGAATGCAAGCCCCACCTGCTGCCAGCTGCAGCCCAACCATGGCACCCCACCGCTGTGCCAGGTTCTGTTTTGGTCCTAGGAAAAAGACAGTGGACAGGAAAGACAGGATTCTGCTCCCTTCAAATTTACCGTCTAGAGCAAGCAGCACCTCTCCCTTCAACATGGTTGGTGTTGTTAAGTGCCTTCTAGTCAGTTCTGACTCATAGCAATCCTGTATAGGGTTTCTGAGGAACAACTGGTGAGCTTGAACCACCTACCTTGTGGTTCAAACCAACCTTGCAGCCCAGCGCATTAACCCACAGTGCCACACCAGGACTTCCCCTCTACGTTAGCTTATATCAAAGTTGCCTGGGTGTGGACTGAAAATGCACATTTCCTGGCTCCATCCCCAGAGACTCTAATTTGTAGGTCTAGAGAAAAGCCCTGGAACCTGCATTTTAACATACCCAATAGTTCAGACACATGTGAGCCACAGACCACACCTTCAGAGGGCTACAAAATGAGCAATTACAATAAAGTGCGGTAAGTGCTACATAGGAGCAGTCCAGGGTGAGTCAGAGAAAGCTTCCCAAAGCACACCTTGGACCCAATGTGGAGTGCCTCAGTGGTTAGAGCAGGACCAAACCCTTCCACTCTCAACAAGTGTTTATTTAACAATCGGTACACGAACTAGAGGGAACCCTGGTAGCGTGGTGGATTACAAGTTGGGCTGCTAACAGCAAGGTCAGTAGTTCGAATCCATCAGTCGGTTCATGGGAGAACTATGATGCTTTCTGCGCCGGTAACTATTTACAGCCTGAGAAAATTGATACAGGTTGGGTGTAAGTCAGAACTGACTCAACAACACACCAACAACAACCACATGAACCAGACCAGTGCTGAGTGCTAAGACACAGAAGGAAACCCTCTCTTCTTTCTCTTAATAAGTTCATAGATAACAAAGGTGAATGCCTACCCTGGGGCTTCATATTGGAATCGCCTGGGTCACCTCCTAGGCCAATTCAATGTCTGAGAGTGGACATCAAACTTTAATTTTAATATAAACAAATAAACAAACCCTAATATTATAACTAAGCTGAGTCCCAATGGGATTATAGGTTAAGCACTGGACTGCTAACCACAAGGTTGGCAGTTCAAACCCACCAGCCACTCCATAGGAGAAAGATGAGGATTTCTGCTCCCATAAAGATTATAGCCTCAGAAATCCTATAGAGGGTAGCTATGAGTCAGAACTGACTCGACGACACCTAAGAATATTTTACCAACCAAGATTGAAAACCAACTGTTCTAGGCCAGTGTTTCCCAAACTGTCATCACAGCTTCAGCAGCACCTGGTAACTTGCTAGCAGAGGTGTTATCTGAAGAAAATAGCTCCCATGGGTAGTTTTAACGTTCTGAGTAATTGTTCACAGCTGGAGATGGACACTGCACTGGACAATGGAAACTGCTTGTTGGCTCCACGTTCAAGTGGCACCCAGGATACACACCATTCCTGCTATCCCCTCAGTATGCCTCTGCTTGCAAGAAGTACAGATTCTCAGATGCCTCTCTAGACCTACTGAATCAGAAACTCTGGGGGCAGGGCCCTGCAATCTGCATTTGAACCCTCCAAGTGACTCTGATGATCACTGAAGTTTGCACTGGGGCCTGAGCCCAGCCTTACTGTACATTGGAATCACCTGAGAGCTTATACAGCTGCCTTGGCCTCAGCCTCAGATGTTTGGAGTTAATTAGTCTGATTGCAGTTGTCCAAACATTTACAAGCTCCTCTGATGCTTCTTAATGTGCTGCTCACAGTAAGTCTTATAATGGTTCTCAAACTTGATAGACCACCAGAATCCCCTGGAGGGCTTGTTAAAACACACTGGTGGGCTCCTGGAGTCTCTGATTCAGGGGCCTGAGAATCTGCAGTTCTAACAAGTTATCAAGTGATGCCAGAGTCTGCTCTCCTGGGATAGAAGTTTGAGGATCACTGTGAGGAAAGAAGGAGAAAGCATGTGAACAGCCCCAGTGCAGTATGATGAGTGAATGAAACATCCATTGAAACAGAACAGGGGCATGGCTGGTATCTCCCTGACTCTCCTTTCTAGGACATACATTCCCAGTTTGTTAGGATATAATTCATCTCACATGTGAACTCTGTGTTACTCAACAGATTCCTGGCCAAAAGTGACATATAAATCTTCATTTTTACTACAAAATCCTAGCTGAGCTTCCAGACAAAGAGTAGGAAGAAGGAGAGACGGACTACTTGTGCAGATTTAGTCACTGAAAACCCTAACACTGTCAGCACCAGAATACTCAATACGGAAACATGATGAAGAGCACCAGAATATGGTTAGCTATAGTGTCAGAAGAGGAGCCCCTCAGGTTGGAAGGCACTCAAACTAAGACAGGGAAGCACTGCCTCCTCAAACTAGATCTGATCATGATGAGGTGAATGGAATGAAGCCTTTGGGACCTTCATTACTGATGGGGTACAATTCAAAATGAAGAAAAACAGCTGTAAACATTAATAATCAGATTGAGTGCCCTTAACAGAGAACTCCTAGGCCTCTAGTAACTCCATCTAGGGCCAAGAACTCTGCTGTCACATCCCTCCCACAGCTAACATCATTAAAAACATTAAGAGATTGGACATTAAGAAGCTGGACAAACCCCAAACAGCATAGATCCCAAAAGCAAATCACCAATGCATATCATAATCAAACCTCCCAAACCAAAGACAAGGAAAGGATCCTAAGAGAAGCTCAGAAAAAATGAATAGTTTCCTACAAAGAAGCGCCAGTAAGACTAAGCTCTGATTTCTCAGCAGGAACCAGGCAAGCAAGAAGACAGTAGGATAACATATACAAAACTATAAAGAAAAAAATTGCAAACCAACAATTATATATGCAGCAAAGCTGTCCCTCTTAAGTAGGACAGTGATATTTCCAGATAAACATAAATTAAAGGAATTTGATACAAAGATCAACTTTACAAAAATTACTAAAGGTGTTGTTTGTATTAAGAATAAACAACAGCAGACAACAACCTAAGATTACCATACGTGACAACACCACCCAGAACTCAATCCAGATATGGTAGTGGTAGTGGCTGTGTGCCGTGGAGTCAGTTCCAACTCATAGCATCCCTGTATAGTTTCCAAGGCTGTAAACTTTTATGGGCACAAAAGCCTCATCTTTCTCCTGTGGAATAACTGGTAGATTTGAACCGCTGACCTTGCAGTTAGCAGTCCAGCTTGTAATCCACTACACAATCTATATATGTTGTTGCTAAGTGCCACTGAGTCAGTTCAGACTCATAGCAACCCTGCATAGGGTTTCTGAGAAGAAACTAGTGGATTTGAACCACCAGCATTGCAGTTAGCAATCCAGTGCTTATCTTAGAGCACACACCAGGACTCCAATCCATACATAGAAGTAAAACAAACCTACAAGACTGAATATAGGGAACCAGCTATATCAGTTTATAATGAAGTCAACCATAAAAAAAAACAGAAAACAGTGTGGATACAGAATTTCCAAACGACAGGAATCAAGTAAATTTCAAGCAAAGATAGAACGTTTAAATTGGGGAAAAACTTAATAAATTACAGAGTAACCACAAAGAAAATTAATACACCTTCACATCAAAAGAAAAAAGAAAAATCAGAATGGTTTGGTAAACATTAACACAACAGAAATGAAAAGAAAACCCACAAACAAAATGAACTTTGTGAAGAAAATGATGTGGAACTAAGAAACAAGCAACACCACAGAACACACACACACACACAGAGCACAAGGACAGCAGCAGTCAACTCATACCTATCGATAATTATACAGAACATAAATGGATTAAACGCACCAGTCAAGAGGCAGGGAGGAGCAGAATGGCTAAGAAAACAGGACCCTTCAGTTTGCTGGCTATAAGAGACATAGCAAAACGATAGAAACAACCTAAATACCTATCAAGAGAGAATGATTAAACAAACTGGTTCATACACACAATAGTATATTATGCAATGGTGCAGAATTTAACAATTAATCTGCAAAACACCCACACCATGGCTGAACCTGAAAGATTTTATAATAAGTGAAATTAGTCAATCACAAAAGAACAAATACTGTATGAGACCAATGGTGTAAAATGAAAAATTTTTCTTGATAAAAGAAACATTCTTTGATGGTTTCCAGGGAATGGGAGAGGGGAAATTGTTCACATGCTAGAGGGTATTCACATGAATACAAGTGATGGGGCAGGCAATACACAACAAGAAGGAAATTGGCAGAGGAAAGATGAAGGTAGCTGGAGACACAGGGAAGACAGCAAGAGTTAAAGTAAAGAGAGTTAAATGAACTGATGGAAGTGATTGCAAGCATTATAATGAAGCAATGTGTTGAATGTTCAACTGCTTTGTTCTGTAAACCTTCACTCAATTCACAATCAAAAGTTGTTTGGTTTGTCTGTTTGTTTTTTTAAAAAGGAAGGATTACTATTGCTCTCTCCCTGCCTGGAAGGAAAAAAAGTGATGAAATTGAAGAATTTGGAAACAATTAGTCCAGGGGGCTAGCAGAACACATGAACATCATCAGTCCCCATGACCCTGAGACCCTAAGAACTAGATGGTGCCCTGCAATTGCTCTGAAAGGGATCACGTTAGAGGGTCCTAAACAGACTGGGTAGCAAATGTGGAACAAAATCAAAATCATAAAAGAAACGAGGCTTACTATAGAGACTGATGGCACCCCAAGACTATAGCCATAGGTCACCTTTCAGGTCTGGAACCAAACTCACTCCCATGGTTCAATTTTCAGCCCAACAATAGATAGTTCTATAGGGGGATAACACCACCATAGAATGGTCAGTCGTTCACAATTACAAGGGTAGCATTTACCCAAGAACAAAGTTCAGAAGACTAGAGAAAGAACTAGGAATGGAAACCAGAAACACTGGGAAGAAGTGGGAAAAACAATGTTACACTGCAGTCATTGAGAGGTGAAACCAAGTGTATGATGTGTTGAATATAAAACTGATGATCTGCTCTGTAAACCTTCACTCAATTCACAATAAAAAAGTTGGAAAAAATAACAACATAATGAACTCTTTGATTACACTAAAACCCCTCTTGAATATGGGTAACTGGAATTGTCATATAGCAGCCTCACTTGAGCAGCAGACAGGCAAGCACCAGTCTGTAGGTTGCCCTGTAAGAGCTTTCTGATCTTTTCACAGGAGTTTCTTCTCCCTGACTGTCCTGAATGTTCTGGTGGAGAGGGTTGTTGTTGTTGTTGTTGTTAAGTGCCATCGAGTCGGGTCCGACCCATAGCGACCCTGTACAGGGTTTCCAAGGGTGTAAATCTCTACGGGAGTAGAAAGCCTCATCTTTCTCCCGCGGAGCAGCTGGTAGTTTTGAACCGCTGACCTTAAGGTTTGAAGCCCAATTCGTAACCACTACGCTACCAGAGAGGGTACATGTCTGTATTTTTCATGCTTTTTTTACATTCCCCTCAACATCTGAGTGAGAGCTCTGTGAATAGAATCAGTCATCACTAGGATGAATAAAAACAGCAAGTACCCAATGCTCCAAAACAGGAGTGGGGAGGATCCCCATACATTCATTCCTATGTGATCTGTCTGCAACACACTCACCACAGAGAATAAGACAGCAAAGGTCATTTCCAAAGTAACACAGCCTGTTCTTGTCCACTGCTCTGGCTAGTCCCAGGAGAGAGGCAGTAGGGTGGGCGCAGGGCACAGGCTGTGAATCAGATGTTGCTCCAAATCCTGGCTTCTCTACTTACTAGCTATGTAACTGTGTACAAGTTACTGAACCTCTCGGAGCCTGGATTTCCCAATCAGTGAACCAGCAGATTGCATCCAAGTACCTGTGTGTTAACACCTGGCACATCTGAGGTGCTTAAGAACTATTTGCTTCCTGTCCTTATTTTCCTACCCCCAGCTTCAGGTGTCCAGATACAGTTAAGTCGACACAAACTAAAACAGTAAAGAAGGCAGCAAATCTGGTTTTTGCATTGGACACAAAGGGGAGAAAATGAGGTCCTACCTTCCTCAGGAGAGTCTTCCTCTGTGTCTGCAGTCTTTGGCCCCTGGAGGGTCCCTGGAGATAGAAGAAATAGTTAATGGTTCCAGTGACCTGGACTCCAACCTAAAGAAAACTACGGTACATTTGACAAATGTTGGCGCCAGAAAAAGCAATCCCTCTCTTCATTTCATCTTTACTGGAAAGACACAGGACGGAAGATGGTGGCTACTACAGGCCCTGAAGGTAGAGAGCCCAGAGCTCACATTATGGTCTGTCCCTCATTAGTTGAGTATGAGAAAGCAAGTCCTTGAGCCTCTGTCTCGGTTTCCACATCTAGTAAAAGGGATAATAATGCCCATCCCACATTAAATCACAGTGACAGTGAAACCAGATAATGAATTAAAAGCACTTGCAAAGTTTGTGTTCGTAATAACATCTGGCTCCTGTGCTCAGGAAGTTGGGGTCATAGGACTGGTTGCAAGGCTATGAATGTCTAGCTGAAAAGTAGGGGTTTGTAGGAATATGTGGGTTTGCAAGAAAAGGCAGAAAGGCCAGGGGGTATGTGGAGTATGGAATAAGGGAATAGCTGGGTCCTCTAAGCAAAAACTGCCCACTGTGGGTAATAGATATCTTTAGATGCTGGTCCCTACACTCCATGCCTCCTCCACTACTGCCCCAGCACACCAGAGAACTCAAGAGGAGAAAAACACACAACCAGTCACATCTACATGGATTTAGGGTCAGCTTGCTACACACTGGGGGCATGATAAAGGCAGTGGACTACTCTGAGGCCTGAACCACAGGCGTAGTGAATTAGAGCCTGCTCCATCAATCACTGCCTGCAATATCCTCACAAAGATTCGGCTGGGCAACAGACCTGGCTGACAGTATGGGAACCCTTCCATGCAGATGCCAAGCTGGAGCCCAGTCTGTCCCAGAAATTAATGTCTTTTCTCCCTCCCTCATCCCAGCCAGTGAGTCAGACACCTTATATCCTAGGGACTGTTATCACCAAGCCTCAACCTACAAATATATTGTTCAGGGGAAAGAGGGTTAAGAACCCCAAATAACAAGCAAGGTTGTTATAATCCCTCCCACCCACCCACCCCTGCAGACTTACCCTCAACCATCCTGAGGGACAGAGTCTGGATCTGCAAAGAGATGGACCAGAGCACATTACAGGCAGCAGGGAACACTGTCAGAACTGCTCCGAGCAGGAGGAATGCTTAGCACAGTTAGGAAAGGCCAGCCAGGTTCCATGCCATTCACTGGGAACCAGAGGGACTCTGGGTATGCCACCCAAGTCTGCCACCCATCTCCTGCAGTCCATATGTGAGAAGGGTAAGCACTGGCAATCAGTAGGCATCATGCTCCTTTTTCCTCCAGGATTGTTGTTGTTGTTGTTAAGTACCATTGAGTTGGTTCCAACTCATAGCAACCCTGCATAGGGTTTCCAAGAAGCGGCTGATGAGTTTGAACTGCCAACCTTGTGGTTCAAACTGACCTTATGGTCCAGTGCTTTATCCCACAGCACCACACCAGCTAGAAAGATAAAAACGCCCCTCTTCAGAGAGAGACTGTGAGTTGAAGAGTGGGAGCCCCATGCTTCCTGCACACAGTGAGTGCCACTGAGATAATTATTGGAGACTCTGCCTTACCAGGGCAAAGTAGAGGCTTCCCTCCTGAGCTGAGTCCTCCCCTCGAAGGGAGTGCTCCCCTAGTGATCCCTGTTAGAAGGCACAATGTGGGCATTTACTGAATTGTTGCTCAGTCTTTTCACAACTTGCCTTTCCCTCCCTCCTTCCACATAGCTGCCAATGGGGTAGCCACATTGAGCATGACTTCATACCATAGCCATAGTTGACTGTCCAGATTTGGACCAAGAATTTGAAGCTAGTAACATCTAACGTCATCAGCAGTCAGCAGTCCAGTGTTTTTTTTCTTTTTGCGTTGCCTTTGGGAGTTTGTTGTTTATTTTGCCACATGGAACTTATAAGGACAAGAAGCTAATCTTCAGAATAAAAGAAAAGATACAGATAGAAAGGAACAGAGAGAAACGGCACAGGAAAACTCCTGACCAATTCACATCTCGAATTCCAGTATATTCTGAGACTCAACTGCTCCCCTGTCTGGAGTTCTGCAGAATACCCTGTAAATCCTTATGACCAAGTTCTTCTTCTGCTTAAGTCTGAGTTGCCTTTTATTACTATGTCACATCCTAAAGAGAGGTGACCCAACAGAATGCAGAAATCATTGGACAATATCATTAATATCACATGCAAGTAAAATTTTCTAAAGATAATTTAAAAGCACGTGCAGCAGTACATTCACAGGAACAGCCTGTGATATCACTGCTGACATCAAATGGATCTGGGCTGAAAGCAGACAATACCAGAACTATGTTTACCTGTTCTTTAGTGACTATGCAAAGACTTTCGATTGCGTGATTCATGCCATGCTATGGACAACGTTGCAGAGAATGAATATTCCAGAACACTTAATTGTGCTAATGAGGAACCTATATACATTAAGGATGGGAAGGCCTGTATCTGCTGAGGGCCATTTGGATATTTATAACATCATTCATGGGCTGTTCAAAATTGTTGTTGTTAGGTGCCATCAAGTTGGTACCAACTCATGGCAACCTTGTGCATAACAGAACGAACACTGCCTGGTCCTGGGCCAACTTCACAATCATTGCTACACCTGAGCCCATTGCTACCGCCATTGTGCCAATCAATCTCATTGGGTGTCTTCCTCTTATTATCTGAGCCTCCACTTTACCAAATATGGTATCCTTCTCTAGTGACTGGTCCCTGCTGATAACATATCCAAGTATAAGAGACAAAGTCTGGCCATTCTGGCTTCCAAGAACACTCTGGATGTACTTCTTCCAAAATAGATCTGTTTGTTCTTTTGGCAGTCCATGATACTTTCAATATCCTCCTTCAACACCATAACTCAAAAGCATCAATTCTTCTACAGTCTCCCTTATTCACTGTCCAACTTTCACATGCATATGAGGTTATGGAAAATACCATGGCTTGGGCCAGGCGCACCTAAGTCCTCAAACTGACATCTTTGTTCTTCAACACTTTAAAGAGGTCTTATGCAATAGATTCACTAATGTAATACATCCTTTGATTTCTTGACTGCTGCTTCTATGAGTGTTGATGGTTGATCCAAGCAAAATGAAGTCATTGACATCTTCAATCCTTTCTGTTTATTGGTCTAGTGGTAAGGATTTTTGCTTTCTTTACAGTGAGGTGCAACCCATACTGTAGGCTATGGTCTTTGGTCTTCATCAGTAGACATTTTTAAGTCCTCTTCGTTTTCAGTAAGTAAGGTTGTACCATCTGCATATCACAGGTTGTTGATGAGTCTTTCTCCAATCCTGATGTCATGTTTTTCTTCATATACCCCAGTTTCTCTAATTTTTTGCTCAGCATACAGATTGAATAAGCATGGTGAAAGAATACATCCCTGGGGCACACCTTTCCTAATTTTAAACCATTCAGTGTTCCTTTGTTCTGTTCTGACAACTGCCTCTTGGTCTATATACAGCAGGGGTGGGGAATGTCTGGCCCACAAGCCATTTATGGCACATGAAGTCATTTGGTCTGGCCCTGTCAAGGCAACCACAGTTCCAGCCATTACACTGTTATTGTTGTTAAGTGCCTTCAAGTCAGTTCCAACCCATAGCAACCCTGTATAAGGTTTCCAAGGAGCAACTGGTAAGTTTTAACTGCCGCCCTTTCAGTTCAAACCCGCTTTGCAGTCTAGCACATTTACCCACAGTGCCACACCAGGACATCACATTGTTATTGTTGTTAAGTGCTGTCGTGCTGGTTCTGACTCATAGCAACCCGGTATGGGGTTTCCGAGGACTGGCTGGTGAGCTTGAACCACCAACCATGCAGTTCAAACTGACCTTGGAGTCCAGCGCCTTAACCCACAGCGCAACACCCAGGACATAACATTTGTTGTTGGTAAGTGCCATCAAGTCAGTTCCGACCCATAGTGACCCTGTATAGGGTTTCCAAGGAGCAGCTGGTGAGCTTGAACCATCAACTTTGTGGTTCAAACAACTTTGCAGTCTGGTGCATTAACCCACAGTGCCACACCAGGACTCCAGACATCACATTGTTGTTGTTGTTGTTGTTGTTATGTGCCGTGGACTCGGTTCCAATTCATAGCAACCCTGTGCAGGGTTTCCGAGGCTGTAAATCTTTACAGGAGCAGAAAGCTTCATCTTTCTCCCGTGGAACAGCTGGTAGTTTTGAACTGCTGACCCTGAGGGTAGCAGCCCAATTCGTAACCACTATGCTACCAGAGCTCCTTGGACATCACATTAGGGGTGAGTTAATTGAATACAGCAGGCTAATTTTTAGAAGTCATCATCTCTCATTCTTCAGACATAGTGTCAGGAGGGATCAGTTCCTGGAGAAGGACATTATGTTTGGTAAAGTGGAGGGTCAGGAAAAAGAAGATCCCCAACAAGATGGATTGGCACAGTGGCAGCACCAATGGGCTTGAGCATAGCAACAACTGTGAAATTGGTGCAGGCTGGTGTAGTGTTTCATTTTGTTGTGCCTAAGGTCACTGAGTCAGTCCTGATTCAATGGTACCTAACAACAATAACATGTCATATAACTGAAGCATGACTGGTCCAGCATCCACTCCCAACTGTTTCCTCCCTTGCCTACCTCTACTCTAGAAATTATAAAACTTAGTCCATTTCTCAGCTTTCTTTGCAGCTGAACTTGTCCTTGTGAAACAGCTCCCATCAGTAAGACACTAACTAAAGTACTGGGAAAGGGGCCTTTTTGTCAGCTTCTTCCACCAAATATGTCTGTGATGCTTTATGCTAAGACAGCCAACTTGCAGCTATGAGAAGGCAAATATAAGAACCAATGTTAAGACACTGAAGATGGTGAAAAAGACAATCTGGGTTTCTAGTAGGATAATTTTGAAACTAAACCAAGGCCGGGACCTGTCCATTTCTCTCAGTGTTATAATGAAAACTACTCCCTATCAACCTATTCTGTTAACTCAGCCAATTGTTTCCTAAATGAAATAACTGCAAACCAAAGTCCTGATAACATAAGGAGGAAATTTCCAGTGAAAAGCTAAAAGCAATGGGGAGAAACAATGAAAATAAAGTTGCCAGAGGGGTGGGTTTGATATGTTGACTGGGTGATGTGTGCCTGGGAGATTAGAAAAGCCAAGAAGAGTTGCGGGCACAGGTAGAGCAGACTAGACAGTGCCCATGGGTGCTCAGCCAGGTAAACTGTGTGGAGGCTTGTCTGTGAGCTGGGTGTCAGACCACACAAGGACCTGAGGCCACAAGGGAAGATGTAACTTCTCCATAGACCTGGGGAGGAGGCAGGGGAACTGGGCCTGAGCTAAGTAGAGAATGATCAGCAATGTAAGTTAAGAGTACAGAGGCCAGGTTTAGGAGAGGGTCACTTAGTACCTTGTTACCACACTGATTAATCTGAAAACTTCATCAGAGGCAGTTAATTAATTAGCAAAAGGTATTAAGTACAAAATTATATATGAGAACGCAGTGTAAAGAGCATAGGCTTTGCATTCCACATGCCTGGCTAAGGTTAAATCTCATCTCGTTGCTTTAGAGCAGGGATTGTTGTTGTTGTTGTTAAGTACCTGGAGTCTATTCCGACTCATAGTGACCCTGCACAGGGTTTCCTAGGCTGTAAATCTTTACGGGAGCAGATAGCCTCATCTTTCTCCCACAGAACTGCTGATGGTTGCGAACTGCTGACATTGAGGTTGGCAGCCCAACTCGTAACCACTATGCTATCAGAACTCCTTAGAGAAGGGGTGGGGAACCTTGTTTCTGCCAAGGGCCATTTATATTTATAACATCACTTAATATAAATGTATGTTGCTATGAAAGAAAGTCCTAGATGTATTGAATTTCAAGTCCCACCTATTGTTTCCTTGACATGATCAGATCAAATGATTTTGCATGCTTATATGGCCCACAGGCTAGATGTTCCCCACCCCTGCTTTAGAGTGTCCAGTGCGAACTTGAGCAATGCCTTTTACTTCCCAAGACTCAGTTTTGTCATTAGTCTAATGAAGATGGGAGGAAGTGATAACTACTCAAAGAGCTGTGCTGGTGGTGGTGATTATGTGCCATGGAGTTGGTTCCAACTCATAGCATCCCTGTACAGGGTTTCCAAGGCTGTACATCTTTACAGGAGCAGAAAACCTCATCTTTCTCCCATGGAACAGCTGGTAGTTTCGAACTACTGACCTTAAGGTTCATAACCACTAAGCTACCACAGCTGTGGTGCAGCTTAATGAGGTAATAAGTATCAACCAGGATTCCTGGTGTGATGCTGTAGATCGGTGATTCAAATCTACCAATCGCTCTTTGGAAACCTTGTACAAGGTCACAATGAGTCAGAGCCGACTTGATGGCACTTAACAACAACAACAACAGGTACTTGGCATATAGTCTCTGAGGATAGCGTCAACCCATCTTCTGATAGCCCCCAAAGTAGACAACATCTTCAGTCTGGAAAACGTAAGCTTCTAGTGATGATGACCTCAGAAAAATCCAAGGAGATTGTCACATGAATGAGGCCAGGGGGTGCCAGGGCCTGACTGAGAAGAGAGGCTGACATACCATTTCTTCCCGGGAAGTGATGATCCTGGCCTGTTCCTGGAGCTGGGCGCGAAGGGCACTGATCTGGCGCTGGGACTGGGCAGCTGCTTTCCTCTGATCCTGGGACAGGGAAGCCTGCAGCCTCTCATTCTCCTCCTGCAGCTGGTGGGCACAGGATGGTCATTAGTTAGATATCTGCAGGGACCTCTCAGCACCCTGTGTCTGCAGGACCCACACCTGTAGGCAAATACTGTCGGGGTTTCGGATTTTCAGGTCTGGGCAATTGACTTTCTAAAAAAACTACCTTCTAATCTAGCGTAGTGGTTACGAATCGGGCTGCGAACCTTAAGGTCAGCAGTTCGAAACTACCAGCCGCTCTGCGGAGAAAGATGAGGGAGGCTTTCTACTCCTGTAAGGATTTACACCCTCGGAAACCCTATACAGGGTCGCTATGGGTCAGAACCGACTCAACGGCACTTAACAACAACAACAACAATCCTGGTGTGATGCTGTCAGATCAACACTGGACTGCAAACCACAAGGTTGTCGGTTCAAACACACCAGCCACTCCTCAGAAGCACTACATGGAGTCGCTATGACAGTCTTTAGACAAGGAGCCATTGTGGTATTGTGGGTTACACATTAAGTTACTAAACGTAAGATCAGCAGCTCCAATCCGCCAGTTGCTCCGCAGAAGAAAGATGAAACTTTCTGCTCCCATAAAGATTTATAGCCTCAGAAACCCTACACAGAGTCGCTATGAGTTGGAACCAAATCCAGGGCTCACAGCAGCTGTCTTTTGACACTTTGAACTATGCAGGAAGAGAAGTCCTAAGACTTCTAAGAAAAGTTCCTAAGACCATGGCAGAAAGGCTCTACCAGGTGTGACTAGGCACTGAGGGCAGTCAGGTAAGCTGAGAACATTCAAAAACCATTCAATGGATGTTGTTGAGTCAAAAGAAGTGGTAAAGAAGATGTGCTAACATGCTACCTCTGGTGTAAAAACAGAGAGAAAATGAGCCTATTTGTAGTGGCCTCAAAAAACTCTAGAATACATAAAAACAAAACACAAAAATTAGTCCCCTGTGCTGTGGGTGTTAAGTATTGGTCGATGGAGACAGCATGGGCGTAAGACTTTACTCAGTGTAAAGTCTTTTTACATTTCTTGTGTTTTTGGAATCACATGAATGCATTTCATATTTTTTAAAAAAATTGTTTAAGTTTTGATTAAAATAAAATCTTCAGGTGGGAATAAGTGAAAGCAGCTACCAAGTGCCAGACTCTGATCTGAGCATGCTCACCTTCCGGCTTTCTCCTGGCAGAACCTGGAACTCTTATTAGCCAACTCCCTTCTCTACTAGCCTCCTTCTCTGAAGCATTGTAATAGAAGCTGTTTTCTCTGCTCTGAAGTCTGTTGGCCTCTGTTCACCATATCTAAGCCCTTCCATTTGATCGCCCCTCAAATTATCATTGACATCCACAGGTACCTGCTTTTCAGCTGAGTGGGATTCCAAAGAAGGGTCCAAACAGAAAATGGCCAGGGTATACATCTCAGGCTGATAGCACGCCCCTGCTTGGAAGGCCTGAGGGGTTAGTCAAAGAGGACCCCACAGAGTGAAAAAGACAAGGCCTAGAGGTCCTCAATGTTGACCAGGAAAGCTGCTGATTGAGCAAGTGACTACTTTCAAGTCTCAACAGGGATCAGAATCCAGAAGTAATATCAGCAGTAAAATATCTCCTAGCCAGTGTGGGAGGTGGGGAGACAGGCAGGAAGTACTGAGTTATGGGAAGTGGTCACAGGAAACCAAATTCTCCCAGACCACCCAACGAGAGCTACCTCCATCTTCTGAGTCACGTGCGCTTCCTGTAGTTCCTTCATTTTTTTCTTCCACTCTGTTTTCTGAAAAAGATTAAAAGTTTATCAAATGGGTCCTCTACATACTAAAGCATAATATAAAGCTATAGAAATTTAAAAGAAGTGGCTCATGCTAAAGCACTCAGCAGTGAAACAAAATAAAAAGCCCACACAAACATGGAAAAAAGGAAACTTAGTAGGAGATGGATTCATGAGGAATAGTGTTGGAACATGTGGTTGGCTGCCTGGAAAAATATGAATTGGATGATTCTTGCACATCTTAAACCAAAATAAATTCTACAAGGATCAAAGATTTAAATATAAAAATAAAGCCAATATGCACATCTATGTCCATTTCAGCCTTATTCACAAAAGCATAAAGATAGAAACAACTTAAGTGCCCATCAGCAGATGAATGGATAAACAAACTGTGCTATATATACTATATAATGGAATGTTATATAGCAATAAAGAATAATGATGAGTTCACAAAACATAACATGGGTGAATCTGGAGGGCATTATGCTGAGTGAAAAAAGTCACAAAAGGATCTGAATGATCCTATTAGATCCCACTTTTAAAAAAAGACAAACATAGGTGTACATATAGCAGACATTGTTCTTTGATGGTTACCAGGGTGGAAGACGGAGGGAAGGGAAATCACCCTTTAGATAATAGACATTTGTTTTTTGGGGTGATGCTGTTATGTGCCACTGAATCTGTTCCAAATCATAGCAACCCTGTATAGCATTTGTGACGAGCAGCTAGTGGGTTTGAACCATTGACCTTGCAGTTAGCAGACCAATGCTTATTCTATAGTGCCACACCAAGACTCCTTTCTGGTGATGGTAAAGGCAATATTTAATGTGGGTAAAGTGAACACAAATTGGCCAGGGCAAACAATGACACTAAGAGGTACATAGGAATAAGAGACGTTATTGATAAATGCTACAAATTTGAGCCAGAAAATATCCACATTCTGGTTGTATTAAAATGAACATCCAAGTTCACAGCTGATGACAACATTGAGAGTGCATGTAAAATGATTCTGTCAAATAGATGAGTGACAGTGGATTATGTGGCAAATCATTTGCAAATCAACCATGATTCTACCAAACATATAATCCACGACAGACTTGGGTTTCGAAAAATTTGTGTGAGATGGGTACCAAAACAACTCACAGAAGAGTATAAACAGAAACATTCAGACCTCTGCAAACAAAATTTAGCATGATACTCAAAGGAGAATAAAATTTTCTTTCAAAAAAAAAATTGTTATTGGTAGAGGACCCTATGACCGTCAAGCAAGAAGAGCATGAGCAGAATGTGGGATCCTAACCAGGGAAGCAGTGACACCAGAGGTGATGATGGCATGGAGAGATGGAGCAGCTGAGAACTCTAGACTTATGGAAAGAGAAAGGCTGTGTGCTGGCAGGCAGGAGGCTGGCTTCCAGAATGTGCCCTTTGGTTGTTTAAAGGATTACATATTCCTGCGTGTTTTTGTGTACATCAAAAAAGTTAGAGGGAATAGAAGCAAATACTGTTAACCAATGGTGCATGGAGAGGATTGTAATCATTGCAATGAAACAAAATACGATTGATGAAGTGTAAAACTGATTTTCTACAATGTAAATTATCACTTAATTCATAATAAAAGCTTTAAAACATAAAAGAAAAAAACAGGAGAACAAACAAGATGGCGGATCGGGTGGACGTGTAGTAAAGAGCTCCACCAACAACAACACAGAATACCCGACCAAGCAAGCTCAGGGGATGGTCTCAGAACTCTGAACCACATATAAAGGAATATTTAGAAGTTTGGAAGGCTTACAGCTGGGGGAATATGTGGCGTGGCAGAAGCAAGAAATCTATTGCTTTCTAGTCTGGGACGCTTGGCTGCTCCAGGAGCCGCCATCTTGGTGAGACAAGGGAGGAAAGGATCAGAGTGGCCACAGATGCCTAGCAGAACTGCAGAGATAAAGGTGTGGACATTTTTTTCTCTTGGTAGCTGTTCATTGGTCCCTTATGTCTGTGCACCTCCATTTGGTGACTATAGGGGTGCCTGAGCTAGTGGTCACCCCAGCCCCACCCTCGGAGGGTTCTACTATGCATGCGCACAGTTCTTGCAATTTAAAGAGACAGTTTCCAATTAAAACCAAACAGCCACAGCCAGCCCTGAACTGTTTCAACTAGAAAAAAGGCCTGAACGGGGATTGTGGAGCGGGACAAGCAGGCAAAAGAGGAAATAGGCCGAAAATTAAATCCTAAGTTACATCAAAGCAACCAACAGTGGTATCTTGAAATTTCTCAGGAAGAAGAGTGAAAAGGGAAGCCCATTTCCTGACCACATCTACCCGAAGGCATTCAGAAAGCATAAAAAATACCAAAATACATACCCATCTAAGTATTAAGTCCACAGATAACCCCTGAAGATGCCTAAAAAACAGAAGCAGATGACCATATCTACACATGTCCAGAAAAGAGATAAAGTGAATGAGGCAAATGAGCTGGAAGGAGACCTACACTCCATACTGGAAGATGGGCAGGCTTTGGAAAAGCCTGAGAAGGAATTCCTAAAAATGATTATAAAAGGTATCAAAACACTATACAATGCAATTGAGAAAAATAAGGAAGAACTCAGGAAAGTGCTACAGGAACAATCAAATAAGATAGATACAGCATTGGAAACAATTCAAAACCTTACAGAAAGAGTTCTAAACGATTAATAATAGAATATCAGAAATGGACAAGACATTGAAAGGGCCAAAGGAGTAGAATTGAAGAGATAGAACTAGTGAGCTACAAGATAAATCTCTCAACACTACTAAGATAGAACAAACACAAAAAAGGATAAAAAATCTGAAGAAGGCCTAAGATTCATGTTGGATAACATGAAGAGGAATAACATAAGAATTATTGGCATTCCAGAATAGGAATTATCACACAAGCCCACAGAGGAGATAGT